CTCATTACGAATATGGCACTCATTTCTAAATCCAAGATGGCGGGCACGATTTTTTCAAAAAAATGCTATGTGTGTATCATTTTCGAGGTATTTAGGGATGCTCAATGTGAATATGGCACTATTTGTAAATCCAATATGGCGGGCACGATTTTTCAAATAATGGCAAGTTGGGTATCGTTTTCGAGGTATTTGGGGGTGCTCATTACGAATATTGCTTTTGTTTGAACTGTCATGTTTGCCATCTTGGATTTAGAAATGAGTGCCATATTTGTATTGAACATTCCCAAACATCTCGAAAACGATACCCAACTTGCCATTATTCGAAAAATGGCGCCCGCCATCTTGGATTTAGAAATAAGTGCCATATTCGAAACCTAAAGCCGAAAATGCCATAAGCAAACATTAAAGAAAATAACTGTTAAAATAGATTAAAAAATCGCTTAAGAATGCTCCCCTTTTAAGAAAATAAAATATTTCAATATAAAATATTTCGCTTGAGTTACGAAAAGAAAGACATATAATAAGCTATCAAAGTTGTACTGGTGGTGCCAACACTATAGTAGAAACAAATATATACTGTAAATTTGTTGCAATATGTGCTCCAATTCAAATAAAATTAAAATAAATAATTATTCAATAAAGCATGAACGCAGAGCCGTTAAAAGTATTATAAAACAATTAAGTGTCCCAATCACTTACAGGAGTTAACGAAAACATTTAATGTTTATTCAAGTAAATATTAGTTCAAGATGCGCAAATAAATCGAAATTACAGGCACCACTAAAATTTACGTAATATAATTATTTTGATACAGAATAGTAAAATGGGGAGAAAAAAAATTCGTGATAGTGAATACATACATAAAAATATGAGTTGAAACGCATTATTTACTTGTGGAATGTGATGTTAGTGTCTATTTTATGTTTGTCTGTTCTATTTTTACACCCATTTACCGCACATTTCATCATTTTTAGCAAAAAATTTTGGAGCTGTTCGCGGTGCAATTTGACCTTGAGCACTAACAGCCCGCGCGCTCCTGGGAGCCCGTTGGGAAGCCTTTAACTTGCCTCACTTAGCGTGTGCGGGCTAGGTTTCTATGCGTTATTATTCTAAGTATAAATAAGGATGTTTGGGTGTGCATACGTACTGTCCGTGACAATAAACAGGAAAAGCTGGCGATCTGCGCTGTTTACCTTCCTCCGCCTGTTAAGGCTGACCAACTTTCGTGCTTTTTAGACAACACTGACAGTGTACCAAGCCATACTAGGAATGCTATAATATTAGGCGATTTTAATCTAGGCTTTATTGAGTGGAAGCATGGCAACAAGTACCAAAATGCGAATTGTGCCCTTGGTTGTATCTTAACGGATTTTATCTCTATGCATAATTTATCTCAGCATAATTTAATACTCAATGAAGATGGTAAATGTTTAGATTTAGTCTTAAGTACTGTATCTAATGTCTCTGTATCTGTCCCGGATGATTTATTGTGTAACCTGGACTTAAAACATCCTAACTTATATGTTACAGTTTCGTTCACAGACTCAGGCTATCTGAGGCATCCGAGGTGTAGAAAAACTCGTAATTTTCATAAAGCCAACTACCACAGTATTGTTAGGGAGTTGG